AAGCAAAAATTACCCATAATCTCATAGCCCAGAAATAATTATTAACTGTTGGGCATATCTCCTTCAGATTTTTTTCTGTTCATGTGTATTTAACATAATGAGATTCCAGATTCAGATAAATTCAATTCCACAAATATTTTATTCTCTTATCAATTTATTTAGCAGTACTAGGGACTAACTCAGGGCCTTCATGCTGAGCCACATCCCCTAATCTTTTTTAAAATTTTTATTTTGAGACCTGGTCTCACTAAGTTGCTGAGTTGCTAAGTTGCCTTGGCTGGTTTTGAACTCGTGATCCTTCTGCTTCAGTTTCCCAGAGTGCTAAGATTACAGGGGTGCACTGCCATGCCCAGCTTCAATTCCACAAATATATGTTGAGCACCTACTATATGTTAGGTACTCTTCTAAGTATAGGGAACACAACCATAAAGAAAGTAGACAACATAGCTGTTCTCAGCTGTCTTACATTCAAATCGGAGGAGATAAATATAAAAGTGAGAAATGATATCATATATTGGGGAGCATTAAATGCAAAGGGAAAAATAAAGCAGAGAAAGGGGATGAGGAGTGAAAGAAAGTGTTTCAAGATTGGAAAAGGTGAGAGTAAAACCTGCGAGGACAGCTAGGAAGAGCATTCCCTGCCAAAGGAATCACAAGGACAAAGGTCACTAAATTGGAAATATGCCTACTTGTCCAAGGGACAGCAAGGAGGGTGCTGCAGCTGGAGCACAGTAACCACGGGAGGACATGCTAAGTGCAGTCTTAAAGGTAGGCATTGGTGAGGTAGTACACATCCTAGTCTATGGCCATGCCACTCTGAACGCACCTGATCTTGATCTCCTCAGATCCTATAGGACCCTGCAGTATACTGTAATGACTTTGGTTCTTACTCAAATAGATAAAACACCTTGGGATACTTAGTTTGGTTTCCAGATTTCTGCTATCATGTATCACATTTTGTAATCTACACGCATCTCTGTCCATGTCTCTGAATGCTTCCCTGGAAAAAATTCCTAGAAGTTTAATTTCTTCTTGGCCACAAGCTAGGAAAAATTTGAGATTTCTTGCATATTGCTAAATGGCTTTCTGAAGATCCCGCATGCACTTACAGTATAATTTAAAATTCAGTGAATATTATTAAGGGCCTACCACGTGCCAGACATGGTCTAGGGGCTTGATATAAATCAGTAAATGAAATGAATTTTGCATTCTAGCAATTTAACATTTGCCAGCATGCGTCAGAGTGCTTATCTTACTATATGCTTGCCAACCCCAACTATTACCATTCCTTAAAATGCCAAGAAAAGAGCAGTCCAGTAATTTGAATGATGAAAACTGGTATGCTCTTATTATGCTATGATTTATTGATTTCTAGTGAGATTGAGTTATTTCCCATACTTTTTCTAGCTAATCAGCAAATTGTCCTCTTTTTCTGTAAAAGCTCTTTAGAACCTTTCAACATAATTTGAAGGAGGTAGGAAGTTTGGAAATATTAAAAGACTTAACATGTATCTTGGGAAAGATGTAGTCTTCAGGTCAAGTACATAGACTGTAGGAACTGATTTGAAGCCAAAGAGTATGTCTGATGCAACTCTTATGTTCTCAGAAGGACTTTTCAGTCAGGAACATCCTTGGTTAATTCCAGACACAATAGTATGGAAACTACCACGCTGATGTGACTTGTCCATCCAGCATGGATTCTGAAGTGAGCACAGACTTTTCAGCAATTTCACTGTCCCAGTGTTCTAAGAGCCCACTTTATTTAACATCGAATCTGGCTTGAAAGCTGTCATATTTTGAAACTGTATCCCTTTTTGAGGTGTTAAACTTTATAAGGTTTTACTCTCCATGTGAAACCAGACCACTCTTGGAGGAAAGAGAATCAAGAGTCAGGAGAGGGGCTTTAATTATCTTCTGTATCTTTCCATAGTTTGAGTTTTCTAACCTTTAACAAATACAACTTCAAAAGACTCCCAGCAGGGGTTATCTGGGTGGAGAGTTAATGGCTTTTTACATTGTGTTTCCTCTTATGATTATTACTTTTTATTTCAAAGAGAAAAAAAATGATGCAGAATTTCAAAGCAAGATAATAGGAAATTAATATTCCTATTAATATTGCATACTGTTATCTTCAAAGTAGTTGCTCAGATTACAAGATATCGACATGCAAGATTGATCAAAGAATATAAGCACAAACTGTTCCCTTCAATGAACTAAAAGAAATTAACTATCTTAGCTAAAACTCCCTTTATTATTAAAAAAGATAAATATTTTATTATTTAAAATTTCTTCCAGTTTTGTAAAACAAAATCCATGTATGTGTGCATATGTTGCATACATTTGCAAGAATGCAAATCCAACTGTTAATATATGGGCTTGATTTAAAGATTGTCTAGAGACCTAGGAGGAAAATATGAGTGTTCTCTTTTATTTTTACTTTATACATTTAGATACTATGTTTATTATAATGAACATTTATTATCATTCTACATTTTTTTTTGTCTACTAGGGACTGACCCTGGGGCTTTGCACTGCTACATCTCTAGCCTCCTTATTTTGTTTGAGACAGGGTCTCACTAAATTGCTAAATTTTCCAGACTGGGCTCAAATTTGAGATCCTTCTGCCTCAGCATCCTGGCATGCTAGGATCACTGGCATATACCACCATGCCCAGCTTCAATCTACATTCTTTGCAGAAAGGAAATAATAAACCAGTTCCCCCAACCTTAAAGTGGTATATGCTCATTGTAGAAAAGATAGAAAAGCGTAAAGAAACTAATAGTCACAAAAATGAATATTTTAGCATGTTTCCTTTCAGGCTTCCTTTTATGCATTTTTTGGACATAGTTTAATTCACACTAAATGTAGTTTTGTATCCTGTTTTTGTCTCCTATGATTAAAACATAAGCATTTTCCCATGTCATTACAATATTTGGCTGCCCAGTGTATGGTTTTATATAATTAAAATGGATTGATTAGTCATTTTATTTGAAGTTGAACATTTGAGTTGTTTTCTATTTTTGTATATTAAAAATGGATCTATGATGAGTATCTTAGTAGAGAAATATTTGTCTGCATTCTAAGAGTTCCTTACGAGGGATTCTTAGAAGTGGAATTACTGGGTCAAAGAGTAGATGTCCAGAAAAGGGATCAGTAGGTAGAATTGTTATGGATTGTAAAAGTTTATATAATATCTACTCCTCCTAACAATATATGAGACCCTTACCAGACTCTTACTTTCTTTTTTTTCTTGTACTGGAAATTGAATTCAGGACCTTGTACTTGCCAGGCAGGTGCTGTGCCGCTGAGCTATATTCCTGGCCCACAATCTTAATTGTATCTTTCCTATAGGATTTCAATAGGTGACCTTGATAGCTCCATGTTTTTTTTTTTTTAAATTAGCAAGACTGAACTTACTCCTGTGCTTATGTATCATAGGTCCCCCCCAACTACTTGTTCCTATTTTGTCCATTTGGAGTAAAATCTTAGGGATTTTCTTATCAAGTAAAATGAGCTCTTAAAGGATATTTTGTCATATTAGTTGCAAATGAAAATATTTTCTCAAGTTTATTCATTTTTACAAATGTCTGTACAATTTTTACGAAGAAATAATGAAATTCTAACTACAGTTGAATGCCCTCAATTTGAGACTGTTTCCCCATCATAAAATTGAAGAGGTTTCATAATCTATTTGGAAGGGGCCTTTTCAGCTAATCCTAAATTTAGCTCTGAAAAAAAATGTGTGGGCTTGATAAAAAGATTGTTTGGCTCATTACACTTTAAAATGATTTGAGGAGATGGGGAGGGGCAGGGATAAAAGCTGTTTTGGTCAGAAATTTTTAGAATTCTGAGATAAGAAGCCAATTCCTTCTTCAAGTCTCTTGCATGTTGAGAAGGGGAGTAAATTATGTGCAAGTGAACAGAACCCTTGATGGAAAAGTACTGCTCTGGGCTGCAGATGTGTGCATGGCTTGGTTTTAATTATTTTTCCCTCTATTCTTTCTTCTGCTTCCCTCCCTATGCCACAATAAAAGGAGAAGCCTAATTTGGCCTCTGAACGGTAGAGACAGTCCTTCCTCCATAGAGACTGCTCCAGGGCCACCTGTTAGCACATCAAAGGCCAGATGATGTACCCAGGAAAGGAGGGGTCCACGCTCCAAACTCGGTGTGTCCAGACTCCCGCCTTTGTCTGGGCTCCAACTCAGGGTAACTGTGACTGCCAAGGGTAGGTTGACAGGCTTCAAATAGCAGAATGCTGCCAAAGAAAGTTTGGACATAACTCTGAGAGGGAAAAAAAGTTCAACAAGATAATGTCACTTGCTGATGCCTTGTGACCAAGCAAATCAGTGATTGCAAAAGGGTTTGTTTTTTGAGACCTTAAAGTGACTTGGGTGATCTGATCCCCGGATACTGAGCTATGGACAGGCCTGTTTCAGTGACTTTAGCTACTCTGTGGGGGTCTGCCCCACAGCATCTGGGGGAGAGTAGGGGATAGGTCGGGAGATGGGAGCTCCCAAGGTGAAAATGGATCTCTAAGGTGGAAAGCAAGTTTCCTACAAAGGTGATGGAGGGGCAGGGGAACGAAGTAGTGTTCGCATAGGAAACGGAAGAGAAGCATGAAGCAAGAGAAATGTAGTTGCCTAGGGTGCTCAACAGGTGGCCGGGCCAGGAGCCTTGAAGGCCAGCTAAGCCCAGGCTCGCCCACCGGTTTGGGGTGTGCGGAGCAAATGAGTGGTGTAGTGTCCAGAAGGGATTTGTACAGCGTCGCCCGTACCGGCGTGAGGTTGGGGCAAAGGCCTTGCAGGTAGAACGGAGAGATAGTTTCTGTTCTGTGGTAATGGAGGCCAGGGCCGCCAGAGGAAGGGGAGTCAGTATCCAGAGGGTTGGGGGCGGTGAGAATGGAGACTCGCCAGGGCGGGACTGAGCGGGGAAAAGCGGTTATGAGGCCCGGGGGCGGGGCCATGGAGGCTCCGCCCCCTCCCGGTCCCGCCTCCTCCCCGCTAGCTCCAGTCTGTCGCTGAACTCCGCGCGCCTCTAACTCGCAGAGAGGGAGGAGAAAGCAGCGAGTTCCGGAGCTCAGACTAGCCCAGCCAAACCTTTGCTCCAGAGATCATGGCTGCCGAGGATGTGGTGGCGACCGCCTCCGAGCTGAACGAGCTGGAGAGCGGCGGGCTGCTGCACGAGATTTTCACGTCGCCGCTCAACCTGCTGCTGCTTAGCCTCTGCATCTTCCTGCTCTACAAGATTGTGCGCGGGGATCAGCCAAGGGCCAGCAACGACGACGACGATGAGCCGCCCCCACTGCCCCGCCTCAAGCGGCGTGACTTCACCCCAGCCGAGCTGCGGCGTTTCGACGGCGTCCAGGACCCGCGCATACTCATGGCCATCAATGGCAAGGTGTTCGACGTGACCAAAGGCCGCAAGTTCTACGGGCCCGGTAGGGCGGCCAGCGAGGGGGGCACAGAGACAAAAGAAGGGGCCCCAGCGTGGGGCTGGGCCTGACAGAAGAGCGGGGGAGCGGGGCGCCCCCCAGAGGAGGGAAGGCCGGCGGCCAGGCGCAGGGTCGAGGGTCGTGGCCGGGGGAATACCCCGGCAGGCAGAGGACCAGAGGAACTCTAGAGGGGCCGTGGGGCAGTGGGGGCCGCAGATTCCCCACCAGCACTGGGGTGGGGGTGGAGGAAGAAAGCAAAAGCTCTGAAGCCAGGGGAGGCAGAGTGGGACTTCGCGGCCCGAGGAGGGAACACACCCGAGCGCAGGTTATGTGAGGTTAATGGTTTTGGTGGGGGGGGGGTCCGGAAAGGAGATGGTGGTATCTGGTGCAAGAAAGGAACTGAGCATGTCTCGAGGGGGAAGCATGGGAGGGGTAGACCTAGACTTAGAGGAGACACGAAGGCCCCTGACACCCACAGTAGCCTTGGCAGAATGTAAGGGTGAGAGCGAAAGAGGAGATGGGGATTAGCAGCAGGTACAAGAAACATTATGCGTGATGGAGAGAGATGGGGGGGGGCGCTGTGTGCATGCGCAGTGTGCGTGTTGAGTGAATGTAGTCTGGGGTGTGTGCGCGCTTGCGCTTGGAATGTGGCATGTGTCAGATATGTGTGTGGCCTGTATTTGGTATGTGTGTGTGCGTTCTGTGGGGTGGAGTGTAGGGGAAAGGCTGCAAGGTGAACCAGGGAGGCCCAGTAGGGGGACGGGAGTTAGCCTGAGAAAGGAATAAGGGCTGAATGTGGTGGACAGTGGTACCATGGCAAGCTAATAAGTAATACCATATATAATCTGTAACAGGAGAGCAAGAGCCATAAACAAAAAAGATTAAAAATGGAGAGAGAGGGACAGTGGCAGAATCGGGAAACAAAAGGGGTAGCACTATGAAGGCTGCTGGGGAAGGGATTTCTGGAAAAGCCAACCAGAGGGGAAATGAAGCATGGATGGATGGCTGCTGAGCTGTTGGCTTGAAAGGCTTGAAAGGATCCTTAAAGATGGGGTTTTCCCAAAGTAGTTGCTTATCTGAATCCCCTGATGCACTTGAGGAAAAACACAGGCGAATCTGAGAAGCAGCCAGATTTGGAGAATCTTGCTTTATGGAAAGGAGGAAGAAGATTTGAATTTCTCCAATATGGAGTCCTGTAAACACGGGAAGCCCAGGGGATGTGTTCACATCCTTACTGGTCTGTGAGAGGAAAGAGAACCCTGCACTAAACAGGTCATATCCACTCCTTTGTTTTACTTTCCTAGTCCAGCTAATCAAAATCATATGTGGGATGGTTCCTGCAGAACTCTCCCACTTAGTTTTTCCTTGTGGACATTTTAGAATACCAGCTTTCTGTAGGCATGCAACTGCACAATAATTTGAAAACCACACTTGCCATCATAGTAGCACATTACCAGTAAACATAATCATGTGAATACCTGTTTTTACTTTGCTAAACCAGAAGTAGTCAAAACGTGTGCCTGGGGCATCATCTTAAGGCTATAGTCTGCAAAGTCACTGGGGAGAGGAATATCAGTCTGTGCATAGAGCACGAAACTGGAGCCAGGCAACTTGCATTCTAGTCCTGTTTGGGTCACTAACCAGCTGTGTGATCTGGTACAAATCATTGTTCTCTCTGGTCCCCTCCAAAAAATGACAAGGCTGGCCCACTGTGAAATTTCTGTCTACCCTCCCTACCACTGAGTGGGCCCATGAGTACACGGCAGTGTCACAGTGGAAATATTTCATGTTACAGAGGATACCTTAAAATTATGTAGTGCCTATTACTGTATGCAAGGCACTGTTGTAGGTGCTGGGGATGTAGCAATGAGCAACACAGACAAAAGCTCTCTGCTCATGAGCTTCTCGGGAATATACACGGTGGCGAAAGACTTAATGCTCCCCCTAGACCTTAACTATTCTGGGAGGATTGCTAGATAAAACTCACTCTACTGATCCAATGACCATAATTTCTGAAATGGTGAAGTCCAAACCAATACAGTTTGCCTGTTTTCAAACACTAGGTACTACCATCTCTAAGGGGTACATTTGTGAAAAATGTATGTTTTTTTTAATCCTTAGTGGAAATGGCAGCATATAATGATAATTAAAAACAAGATAAATGCAACTTGTAAGTGCAATTTATCTTAATTGCATTTAAAGTTAATGAATCTTAATTCCATTTAAAAGTGACCATAAAATTCATCTAATTTACAAAAAATTTCTTGGTGGATTGAGGTTTCAGTCTTGAAATATTGAAACAATTTGTTATACTTGGCATACTGATTACCTACGAACTTTTTTAATGTCAAGGTTGCTTTTCAATGTACTTGTGGGAAAACAAAACATTGTTTAAAGTGCAGTCGAGTTTTTTCATTTACTTGTGCAATATTTAAATAAGTCTAATCATCTACTTTTAGTGCCTACGGCATGATTCACTGTTCTCTTAGATAAAAGTTCAGGCTAATATATCTAACAGTATTCTGAGTTTTATAGAACTATTTTTAGGTATTGATTCAGCACTTTTCCCTGAAAATTTTAGTATTTTCAGTTTCTCTTTAAGCCCACTGAAAACAGAATGATGAAGCCATCTCCTCTGTGCTCTCTTCTTTATTGACAGTGAAAGTTTTGTAACGTGGTTAGATTTTTGAACTACTGATAACTTAGAAAATGATTTCTCCTGGAGATACCATGAGTTAATGTTTAATTAATCCTCACAAGCAAAGATCTCCATAAGATACCTTTGACTTATTAAAACATCAGAATATATTTATAAGAAAATGTTTTCAATTACATATTACTAATTATTATCTTAAGAAATCATAACTCTCACTGGTTTAGCCCAAGTGCCTAGAACAGAGCAGGTTTCAGGTTCAAAGTCCTTAAATTGAATCCTAACTCATGGATTATATTATCTTGGATCACTACCTCCCCTGAAATAACCATTTATGACTGTTGTATTTATGACGGTTACTTGCAAATCATAGGAGATTAAAAATCTGTGGCATTTTTACTTAATTTTAGTTATTTAATAGTTTAATGACAGAGGATCTTTCACTGTTCTCTACATGATGATCAGAATATCAACATCACTTTATGGTTTTAGAATGAAATTTGATATTGAGAAAAAGGGGCTTTCTGTGTTGATGGGTAAAGAAGGCATTTTCTGTGCATAAACCACTGAAAAATGTATTATCTAATAAAGAACTGGTCTTTGGTTTATTTTGTTTTTAAAGAGGGACCATATGGAGTTTTTGCTGGAAGAGACGCATCCAGGGGCCTTGCCACGTTTTGCCTGGATAAGGAAGCACTGAAGGATGAATATGATGACCTCTCTGACCTTACTCCTGCCCAGCAGGAGACTCTGAGTGACTGGGACTCTCAGTTCACTTGTAAGCATTTTTAAAACATTGTGTGCAGATCAAATTTCTACCAGTAATGGAGATTCATGGCAGGACAATAGTTATTTTTTGATAAGGTCCTGAATCTTGGACGGAATCAAGTTCATGGCTTGAAGGAATTGCAACAATGCTGAGTCACTTGCTATGGTTGCATACCAATTTTTAGCTTGTTCTCTGTAGAAATTTGGGTCTCTGGTTTTGATATTTAAATTTTTGCACAGAAGTTTATATAGATTCCATACTAGGATTTGGGTGTGTAGGGAAAGGGACAGTGGCCTTCTTGGCTATAGAAAGAGGGATTTTCATAAGCCCTCTCTTGCAGAGCTTGCGGTTTAAAAGAAACCCACATCTCTCTTGAAGAATGGGAGACTTGTGTTCTGCAAAACAGCTTCTCTTTGAATGTAATTGAGCCTGGCTATAGGCCTTATCCACAAATGATGCTTATAATCTGCCCAGCAACAATGGTGTCTGCATTGAAAAGAAAAGAAAAAAGGAGACACTTGTTTCTGGCTTGTGCTATGGGCTGTCTTAGGGAAGGGTACAAATGAGGGGTTAAATTCAAATCTTGAAAATTCAGGAATAAGCTTCTGTTAAACCTAAGTCCTATGGGTTTAATGGTCACTTCAGCAGTATTTCACTGCTATGAATTTGAGTAAGTTTCCCTCATTTTATGAAAAGTACGTAAACTTTTGAGGAAGACTTTTCATTTAAAATGGAGTTTTCTTTCTATTTACTGTTCTTTAGAATCAGTTAAATATTACATGCTCTTGGCTATATCTAACCATTTTCGCTGAAAATACTGCTGACCTCAGAGAGTTCTCGGTTAATAATTAGCCAGATATGGCGCTACCTTTTGAATATGCATCTCAAGTGAACCAAGCGTAGGGGCAGGTCTTTTTACTTTGAAAACATAATTCAGCTACCAAACTTGGTCGCTAATGTTTTCATCTCAAGGATACCTTTGTCATGATAGAGATTAATGAGTTGTGTGAAATTAATAACACACAAAGCTCTGATTTCTGGGGCTTGCCTTCATCAGTGGGAAAAAAGTGTGATTTTTTTCCCCTGATTAAACTAAACACTATCCCTGCAAAACTATTGTGACACTTCAGCTATACTAAAACCTGGTGTGGATTTGATTCCCCTTCAGACACGCTTCCCAGGCACCACCCAGCTGTTATTTGTCTTGCACCATCCTGAGCAACTCAGGGACCTTTATGCTATGTTTAAATAGGGAAGTTCAGATTGTTCCCAAAGATTATTTCACACAAAAGCAGCTCTGCTTACCTGGTTAGACAGGTTAGTTGCTCCTCACATTACTACCCATATTCAGAACAAAAAGACTTGGTCTTCTTTAGTTTGGCTACAGTGATGTGGTTTATCGCCTCTTGTTCACACCCTTAAATCTGTTGTCTCCAATATCTCCAGCCCTCTCCTGGCTCCTTTACCACATCCTTCACCCATCATGTTTTTGTCATGCTGGGAAAAGAGTTCTGTCTCCTACTACTCTCCTTTTACTAGACCATATTCCTTCCCTTCCCTTCCTCCCCAGCTACTGCTTCCTTCCCTGTCTGTGCCTCCTTCCCCACTCCCTACAATGTGGCTTCTATCCCTACAATAGAACTCTTACACTCAAAGATTTCTGTGGACCTGCTTCTTGCCAGGTCTAAGTTCACTTCCCAGTCCATATTTTGGCTCTGTTGTCATGTGCCCCTTCAGAGTGGGTCCCTCTACAGAGTCCCCGTTTTGGTCCATGAGGTATCTAGTTTTCAGTAACTCATGTTTTGAGTTTTCTTTCAAAGTATCTCATATTCTTCCCATTCCATTCTTATGGATGCCACCCTACTCCTGGCCCTTGTTCCTTAACATTTGGCTCTGCACGCTAGTCTCAGGACCGCCCTGCTCCTAGGCTCCCCTTACTGAAATCTGCTCTGTATATCACAGTGATAATATTGTCACAGCGTTATTTTGCTGTGTCATTCCTTTACTCATAACACTTTCAGTGCCCTTTGTTACCTATAAGTTCAGTTCAAATTCCTCAGGCTGGCTTTCAAGTCTTTCGTAACATTTCCGACACTGGGAAAACTTATCTCCTACTATTTCCACATGCCTGACAACTTGATCTCTTAATTGCTTCTCAGATATGTTCAGTCTTGCCTGTATACCTTTGTACATAGTATTTTTGTTTTCAGGAAATATCTGTTACCAGATCTACGCATTTTCCAAATCATATCCTCCTTCCATGAAGTGTTCTGCGGCCCTTCGAACTCATAATGAGACCTGATTTTCTAAATATTCTCTACATGCAGACACGATTCATTTTGACATTACTTTGCATGCCTATTGCCAGACATTGCTACCTGTTTTATATTTATGTCTTCTAAACAAAACTGCAATTCCTTTTTGGCAAGGACGATGGTATAAACCACTTTTGTATCCTTCAAGAAACCTACCACTTTGCCAAGTATATCACAGGCCCTTAATAAAGGCTTTTAAATGAAGTGTAGTAGTGATTTTTTATAAAGCATGAGGCTGACCATTTGTGTTTTCTTCTCTACCTGTAGTCAAGTATCATCACGTGGGCAAGCTGCTGAAAGACGGGGAGGAACCAACTGTGTACTCAGATGAAGATGAACCAAAAGAGGAGAATGCTCGGAAAAATGATTAAAGCATTCAGTGGAAGCATATCTATTTTTGTATTTTTCAGAATCATTTGTAACATACCAGTCTGTCTTTAAAACATGGTGATTTCAATATTTAGAAAGGTTTGAACTTGCTGTAAATTTTTTAATTAACATCACTAGCGACACTGATAAAATTAACTTCTGTCTTAGATTGCATGAGATATTTGTATGTCACAAATCCAGAAAATGAACTGCAGTGCTATAATGCAAATGTTAATACTGTTTTTCTTCTATATATAGTAACTACAAGCTGAATTTAAATTTGTTTTTCCAGAGCGACAAGTAAGACTCGGGTATTTCCACAAACAGGTAAAAACGTTAAATGTGTACCAAGAACGAAGGATCAACTTACAGTTATGGTATTCTCTAAATAAATTTCTTTTATTCAATTGACTTCACTGCATGATTTCTATCTTATCTACCTCTAAAGCAAATCTGCAGTATTCCAAAGGCTTTGGTATAAAGACAGCCATCTAGTAACAAAAGAAAATCTCAATGTTGCGCTCAATTTGGGGAAATAATTACTGTGTTGCTGGACCACTTTATTGTCCTTATCCTCCTATAGACATACAAACACAGTAATATACAGTTAGGATTAAAATAAGATCTGAACATTTAAAAGACAGCTTTGGGGGGAAAAAAATTCCTAAATACACGAAGAAGGTTGTAGGACTGGTTTCCCAATCTCCATGTTCATAGTAGGGTAATGGTTATTTGACAACATGTTAAGTGCAAGAGGGGCATGCAGAATAGGACCAGGTGTGTGCTTTCCTGAGAGCCTGTGTTCACATCCCTGAAGAATGAGGAAAGAGTACATGTCACTAGTGAAGTGGTTTCTAAACTATATTCCTAAGGTAACAGTTTCCTTTTGTTGTTACAAAACTGTAGCCACTGCGAAAGTAGTAATCAAATGTCTAGGTCTTGAATAGTATTCTTGGTTAACGCTAAACCTAGTTTAAGTAGACTCTACAGTTGTATGACTTTGTAAAAGTATTCAGTGAACAAGTGAGATTGCAAACTCTTGTAATTGTAGTTAAATAGTGATTGTACTTTCTTTGTGATGTGTTTAGTGGTTTTACCTCAAATCACAAAAAAATTGAAGTGCTTTGGTCAGTTAATAAAATGATTTTACTCAGAGTCGTGTGGTGGTTTAATTTTTAAAACTTTACTCTAAGAAGCCAGATTCAGTCATTTAACTTTAGCTTAAAATTCAATTTCACTTTTTTTAGTCCATGTTAGAACGTGTTTTTTTTTAATTTTTTATTTTATTAATACGTTTGCAGTTCATGCAATTTATGATCATCTTGGAGAGTGGTTACATGTGCACTGAGTGTGGATTCTTTGTATTTGCAAAAGAAACAAGTTGAAAGGGCAGATCTTCATAGTCCTCCCACAGTAAACCAAAAATCACATTGTCCTGTTAAGAAATAGGAAGTTGATTTTTTTGGTGACTTGTCAAATTCTTTCTTTTGAAGTCAGAACTCTTTATAAACTGAAGTCTATAGCAAGGTTTTAAACAGTAATGTTACTAAAGGCATTGTCATCACAGATTGCTGAGAAAAGGTTTTGTTTTTGTTTTGATGTGTTGTCTGATCAGGAATGTTTGTAGTAATATTAATTCTTGGGTCAAAAGGATAACAGCTGCATATAGTCAGCTGTATAAACACGGACAATGTATTCGTGCATGAATATTAGTGTTTTGACACTTTAATATTGAAATTGGCAGTGTTTTCTTAGGAGAGATGTACCCCCATAACCAAAGAAATCTCAGTTTTCCATTTTTTTATGTTATCGAAGCACACTGGACTTATTTTTTTAGTGTACTCTCCGTCCCTGCTAGGTTTCAAATACTCTAGTTCTGTTTGGTGCTGGGCACTCTCTTATGCCTTACCCTTCGGGAAAGTGTTTGGGGAGAGAAGTTGGGCCACCTTTGCAGCCGAAGTCTCATTTAGATGGGAAGGTTGAACTACTTTTACACAGCGCAGTTTAGCTGATGCCGTGAGGACCACATCCAGTGTTGGTCAAGCTTTGGTCCCAACAGCTCGTCTTTCATATCACATTGTTTTGGATATATAATTATTACTAGAAGGCAGGACTTTCAGCCTTTAGCCAGCTAGCTATATGTAAGCCATACTAAGGAAAAGGTGCCATTCAAGAAGGAATGGTTGCTAACCACCACCAGGAGGCTATCTGGGGAGGAGTCAGGTTAACATCCGTTTGCTTCTCACCTGCTGTCCTCCAAACAGCTGCAGAGACTCTGTTCTCAGTACCAGCATCCATAAGCAGCACCAGCTATGTGCTTTTTAGGTCTGCTTATCTGTGGCTTCTCAATATAGTGTAACATTCACCTTACCTCACAGGCCTAAATTTATATGTATATTCTCCATCCTGAACCAGCATTCAGGCCACACATGGTGGCGTATGCCTGTAATCCCAGCACTCGTGCGGCTGAGGCAGGAGGATCATTGAAAGTTCAAGATCAGACTGGGCTACAAAGTGAGCTCAAGGCCAGCCTGAACTGCACAGTGAGACCCTGCCTCAAAAGACAAAAACAAAAGCAAAGAAAAAAAAACCAGAACCAGCATTCATACATGCCTTACTGTTTTAGAAAGAATTCTTTGAATCAAGTACCATTTGAGCTCTAAAGTGCCCAGAGTTTAAGGTACAGTCTGTGTTGGTTACATAATACTTAAAATCAGTGTGGTGTACAAACACAGTTAATTCTTGAATGATCAAAGGCTGATTACTGATGCCATTATCTTCTCTGACTAGATTCCACATCCTGCACCTATAATTAACTACTGCCCAGTGCTTAGGGGATGAGATGAAATTCCATAGTCAACTTCTCTACCTTTTAATAGCACTGATAAAATGTGCTGAAAGATAATCTTAAATCTAGATATGATTTCAGTTTCTCTAAAATAAAAACAAAATTCTGTTGTTGGATTCTATGAACTCTGACAGTTCTCACAAACTCTCACCACAAAGGGGAAAAAAATTACGTAATACTAAAACTAGTTATCTATATTTCCAAAAATTATTATTGGGTATGCAACATTCTAACAAATACATGTGGCAAATGAACAAAAGTTTAATCGTCACTGCAGCAATTTTATTTTTAATATATACGAAAATTAAGTATATTATTTCTCTAACAATTCAAATTAAAAAAAGAGCAACATTAGCGAAATGCAGCATACTGTACTACAGGTAGAAACTGTCCCTCCATGGAAATAACAGCAAAAACTTGAACATTTTAAGCAGCTTTGCAACAAATAAAAATATATTTATTTGGTTCTATTTTCAATATTACCAGGTTACATTGCCTTCTACCTGAGAAATTTAAATGAACTGATTAAAAACATACTGACAGATTTTTAGCTTTCTTACAGCACTATCAGCAGCACATACAATGAAAAACATGAAAACCCCTATTTTAAAAGACAGTTTAAAATTCAGGCCCTTATTTAGTAAGGCATACCAAAAAATGCGAGAAAATACATTCATACCACTTAAACAACAGCACAGCAAAGAATAATAGTAAGTAAGAGAAAATGGTTATAATGCTTTCAATTCTGTTTCATTCCTTCCTAAGCCATTCTATTGAAAAGTACAGGTAAAGTTGTTCTTTTCTTCCTCAAGAAAGTTGTTCTTTTCCTCCACACACACACAAAAAGAGGCTGACGAGGCTGACCCAAATCTAGAATTCTTTATGCAAGATGGATATAAAAATCCAGGGTTGGTCATAATGTCAACATAAAACCAGTATTTTTACTTTCTTCTAGCTCCGAGTATGGTTTTTAGCAAACAAATCAAACAAGACAAAAATGTTATATAAAAATGACTTAGCACCAGTTCTATTATACAAAAAATGTACATACTTTATTCTGTAATTTATTTTTATTTCTTTACTGAGCAGCAAATTATTTCCACACCAAAAGAAAATGCAAAGAAAAACTATCAAAGGACAGAAGACGGGCTTGGGGATACAGCTCAGTGGTTGGGGTTCCATCCCCAGCACCATAAAAAAAAAATTCAAAAAAGAGCATACTTGCTTTTGAACACAAACGCATAATGTCCTTTGTCTCAGTGGCATAAAACATGAAGAAATAAGGAGACAGGTTTTCACTGGTGAATAATACCTAGTTATGAGACAATTTTCTGACAAAATACCAGCAGTTAGTAGTCTAAAGGCTACTCTGGATGACGGTACTTTGAACATGAATGGTCACTGCTAGTCTTCAGAGTAGAAAAGGCACTCGCCCCATGAGCAATTTTCAGATTTCAAAAGTCAAGCCTAGTTTTGACAGCACAGTCACTGGCTTGGAAGTGAGATGGAACACAGGAGAGCCAATGATAGGTTCTTCTCTTACTAGTAATAATTATGATCTTTGATGATATGATCGTTTTTGTGGTTTTGCATGTTCTGACGACCTTTATTAAAATGTGACCAGAAAGATCAGTGAAACAATTTGTGGTTCCTACTTTAGATAAACGAGGTTCTTAGCCACTTCAGATACCAGGTTGCTCACGAGGCTGGTTACGGGCACACATCGTGTGGCGTTGTTCTGGACAACCACACTGACTGGCATCCTACCTGGCTCTATTAGCTGGTGCTTTTCTACAGAATATCAAATTAAGACTGTGAAATGAACTGTGTCATATGAAAATGTTGTTCTCCACTGCTTCTGTATATTAAAATCACTTTTTCCTGTTGCAGGCAATCTTGAATTTCAACTGATGTCTTCAAATGCCAGGTCAGGTATAGCTTTGTTGGGAAAATAAAGTCATTTACTGCCCTGAGGCCCTGAATCCAATATAAGGCAGAATAAATCAGCCAAGCTTTTTATACAACATGCACTGCACTAAGAGGTAAATCTTTAAGAATCTATAAAATATCTCAATTTAAAAACATATTTAGGAAATCCAAAATGAGTAAGTAAAAAGATAAATACAATTTTTCCACAGCTAGAAAACTATGGCCTTTTCTCTTAAATCTTCCTAACTCCATGGCACTACTGAGGATTTAGGAGGCACTTGTTACTATTTTATAAAAGTCATTTATACTCAGTAACTTTTTACAAACTGATGTCACCCGACCCTGAGTGAAAGGATTACATAACTTGAAATGGAATACCTGTCATGTCCTCTCCTGCCAAGTGCCAGTATTGGTGCCCCAGGGCCTTTCAATATTTCCTTTAGGAAATATCCCTCGTTACATCACTTCAATCCTGTTGCTTTTTTAGGATGGAAAGACATGGGGATCATTTTTTAAAACTCTGCTAATGAACCCCCTGATCATTTAAACCTCAAAGGACAAGCCTAGTCCCTTTCAGATACTCCCAAAACTTTGTCTTTAAAAGGACAATTCTTTGACTACTATGAACATATCAATAAGATTAATTTACTTCTTGTGAGGGCTCATGAAATTCTTTAATGTCATAAAGATGACTGTTACCTATTCTAGCTGTTATCTCTCTTTTTATCTACAACTACTAAACAAAAGTTAATAAAGTATTTTACTGCATGTGATATTTCTGGCCAAATCAACGAACATGCAAAAGGACCCTTATTCATTCACTACTGTCATTTTTAAAGATGAATAATGATGATGATGTGACAGCTAAAGAACCATAGAGGGCTACCTCAGTGTTAATCTGCTCCTTCACTGGCACCAAATTAAAGCTGTTTTAAAAAGTTTATTCTTGAAGTTTTGCATGTACATTGTTTTACCAAGCTTCAGAATCTGGAAATTTTACATTTCTAAAGCTTGCCAACACACCTGCAGTCATTTTGATCTACGCTTTAAACTTTGGCAAGGTTTTACATTTGACCCTGCGCAAACTCTTGCTCTGTAGTAGCTAACTACATAGCTATATTTGGTTTTAAATTTTTCTGTTTATGAGTTGTTCATTGTAAATATGGGTGTTCCTGATCAAATTGGCCATCAAAACATATGAAAATATAAAGGGCTAGTATCGCTGTTTCCTAAATAGCCTCCACAATCAATGTGCTCATGACTGTTACGTCTAATATGGTAATTATCAGAACTGAGCATGAAATCTTTAGAATTCTCATGTTTTTTAAGCCTTCTTGCACCCTGGTTATACTCTGACTTCCAAGAACTTTCTCTTCTTTTGGGAAAACATCCCAAGTAGAAAGCATTAGCACTCTTTGATGATGTGACTGGCACATGAGAGGGTCTATAGTTTGCTTTGTGGTCCAACACACTACCACTAACCTTTCTCCTCTTCCTCGTGATTTCATCTAACTGATCACTGGAACTGGATTCATGGTAGCAGCCTCCATCAAACAAGTAGCTAGATTTTAGTTTTTCCCTCTTTTTGCTGTTGTTCTTCTCATCCCTACGAGAGCTGCTTTCCTCCTCAAGCCATGAACATCTCGATTCATACTTAGACCTCTTGCCTGGTGTCCTAAGCTTGTATTTAGAGTACTTTTCCTCACCGTCATGTTCCCACTCTGAATGCACAGTCTGCTGACTTGACCTAGACTTTTGCTCGCAAGTGATGATTTCATCATTGTCAAGAGTTCCTTCTTTAGGGGAGCTATGATATATAACCATGGATTCCTCTTTCTCCTCTTCACTTCTGTTAAGAGTTTCACTGAAGCACTCAGAATCACTACTAATTTCCTCTAAGAAATCTGTCAACTGCAAATCAAAGTCTACTGACCTGAAAGGTGAAGAAACTTCATGTCTCCTTGTGGAATTAGAATCACTAGCATGGGGAGTATGAGTCTTTTCCAAGAGATCCCACTTTGCATCAGTTGGGGAGAGCTGACCACCAGCTTCACTGGCTGTATCCTTGCAATCATTTTTAAATCTCTTAGTATATTCTTTGGTATAATTCACTTTTTCTCTCTTTTGTGATTTGTGCTCAGGATCCTGCATGCATACCATTGACCAGTAATCATCTTCCTGGACTTGTTCTCTTCTTTCCAGGTTTTCCACTTGGCTCAGATTGGTTGAGGGATGGCTATGTTTTCTCAAACTGATCTGAAATCCATTCCCTTTAACACAGACATTCCTCTGCCACTGACATGTACTTACTATGTGACTTGCTTCTAGGCAGATCCGAGCATATTTTGGAGTCTGATAATAATTTAATAAATAGTCAATAAACTCATCAGTTTCATAGATCTTCTGCTTCCTGTCATGGTCTCTCTCAGATGATCTGGAAGAAGAGGATTTAGGAGAACTGGAGTGCTCCTCTTTTTTAAGAGACTGACCTTGAATCATTGTGATCTGCAAGGAATTCTGGTCAGAGATCGAAGTGTAATTGTGTCTATCCATCAATTTTCCTGTTCTCTCTTTTCTAATTGAGTATCTTAGCTTTTTCCCCCCAAGACAATGGGAAGATTTATGTAAGTGATCCTTAGTTCTTTTCCTCACTTTTCGTTTTTGTTTATTGTCAGACTTGGAAAACTGATATTCTGGCGTTTCTTCTTGATTGGGAAGATGCTGAGCACTTAACTCTTCTTCCTTCCAAGTTTTCAGTGTGTTCTCTGGAGTATGAATAGCTTCAGAGCCTGTAACATCCATCTCCTGTAGGCAAAACTGTGTGGATCCCTTCAAAGAAAAAAGTTGAATATCTCATATAAAAATCTGAACAGATTAAAAACTTCTAACAAAAACTAGGCTATCACATTGTTCTGAAGAGATTCTAATACCCAGGATAGATCCCAATTAGAACAATACTGCACTGAGAAAATAATAATAAATTAAATGTCTTTAATATGATCTGCTTTTATTAGGCCTGTACCCATTCTTATATCAAAAGGCACAACACTTTACACAGACGTCAAATTATGCAACCCTCTTTCATGTGTTCAAAAACTGATGAGCCTACTGTTCTAGGAATTGTAACAGGAGCTAGAGAAACAAAGAAGAATAAGGCATGCTCTTCCACTCTCCCAGAAAATCTTAGTGCAAGGCAAGTCTGATGGGTGAAATGTGTGTCTAAAAACGTCAGCTGGCTTCAAAGATAAACTTTTTCTCTGCTGCAAATTTCAGCCTCTTACTATAGTTTGTAGGTAAGGGTGTCTCTTAAATTGTCCCACTTTACCTGCCTAATTAGGAAGCAAGCCATTGGAGCTAGGGGTATAGCTCAGTGTTAGAGCATTTGCCTAGAATTCAAGACAACTTGGGTGCTATACCCAGCACCAAAAGATAAAAATAAACAAGACATCCAGTAGTAAATATATCTATGACTATGGTCCTACCTGTGGCCGTGTCTGTGATGCTGTTTACTCTACACAACTGCAGAGCAGGTAAAGCCGCAGCCCACACTGTCTCCAGTCCTGGAAGGGTTTGTACTGTGCTTCCACTGATGCCTGTCACACATCAGGGCGCACTGCCTACCCACTGCGTGGGATTAGAATTTATACTGAAAATAATGGGTCTAAGTATTAAGGGGGCCTAGAATTAGACAACACACCCATTTAAAGAGATAAATTCTTTACAAGTACTCACATTTGGCTGTCATTAAGTTAAACAAAAAGATCCAGCTAGCTTTATTATAAACGTAAATGTGAGATTTTTGAGTCTTGATTTTACTAGCTTTATAATCCCTACTAATGAGAAGCACCCAAATAAACATAAAATTAAGGTATTCACTCTTCATATTTAAAAACACTGAGTATGGGCTTTTCAGTTAATACTTTGAGAGCCTTTTGGGCTTTTCATCCAAGACAGCTGCTATGCCTGACTGTCTCTAAGAGCTCAGGAAGGAAAAGAAATGTTTTCCCAAATCTACACTCTCCAAACAATGCAATGCCTCTGTGAGGTCGGACATTCTCTACCAAACAGGTGGAGAGTAGAATAACATGTGCTTGCACAGGCTCAGGGCTTCCCCTTCTCCAAACCTGTCACAGAAGAATGGCCCAGTAAGGTCCGCAGAAGACTGCAAACCTGGTAGCCACACCTATCTATCTCTTCCCCCTGGCATTTCTTGTTACAACAATTAGGAACTCAGAAAAGTAGATTAACTAGCTGAGTTGCTCTAGTAATACATCCCTGAGGTTTTCAAATGCACAATGGGGAGGGGGACCAGAGCAGAAAAACAACTCCTTTAGAGAATGTAGATATTCCTTTTGGAAATCCATAGTTGGGGTTATTGGAGATCATTGGATTTAAAAGAAACTCCACTGAATACCCTGAGTCTCAGATGGAACTGATTTTCACCATGCGCTGCTTAAATGCAAAGGCTGGGGCTCTGAAAGGTTAGTACATAAATTAAAGAACAACTGGGAAACAGCCTTACTGAAATTTTCCTCAGGAGGACATGGAGCAACCGAAGGGCTTCCACCCGCCTCTGGGCCAGCAGGTGCTTCCTCTCCTCCCACTTCGCTGAAGAGTCCAGCTCCTGGGGCACCTCGGCTTTGGTTTTCACCTTCTGTTTCCTCTGCCGGTGGCTTCCCCTTTCTTTCAGAGCTCTCCTCCTGACCCTGGCCTTCTTCCTCTTTTCCTGGGCTTTCCTTTCCTCGTCTTTTCTTTTTCTGGATAATGATTAAGATGAAACCATTTGAAAAATTTATTTTTAGACATTGGCTCCTCTCCACACACATATACTGGGGAAGACAATTCATTTAGGTTTCTAGGACTCTTCCACTGCTAAGCCGAGGACCTACAGAATTTATGATAACTAAAGCAAAACAAAAGAACACTTTCAAGCATCAGCCAAGGGAAACAGACACATAATTTCACTGATCAAATATAAGCACGTAAAGAAGACATGCAAAGATGTGGGAAGAAGGGGGGAAAAGGCAGGAAGGGAGGAGGGATGAGAGGGAGGGAAGGAGGAAAAGAAAAGGGCAAGGAGAAAGGAGGGAGGTAGGAGGGGGTCAGGAAGGGAATTCACAAGAAAGGCCTCTAGCCTCTATGTTTTCAGACCACAAGCAGGGACTACAGGACCCAGCTTTCAAGGTGATTTCCTTTTTCTTGAGATCAAAACTTTATGTGGGTTGGTTTCACGCTGCTAAATAAAAATGAGTCAAGGCACTCAGAAAATCTTCAGGGTGAAAACTGACCCTTGGCACATGTTATTTAACAGAATATTATCATACCTCTGGTTTAGAAGACTATGAGTTTTTCTAACTGCTGTTTTCTGAAAATTAAAACTAATAAAGTTAGGCCTTTATGGGGCTGTGGGAAGGGGAAAAAGGCGGGGGCAATTCCTTGAGTTAAAACCTGGCCAGAAACCAGACAGTTATCCAAATGGAATATTCAGTCTGGAATTTGTGGATGAAGAGTACCTTGACTGGGCTCAAATTTCAATCAAGTTTCCTAGATATGACCACATGTAAGTCCTATAACCCTATCAGCCAAAAGTGAGGCACATGTGCAAGGGTACTCTTTATGTCCTTTAAATTATACACACATATATAAATATAAAATATATATCTGCAAAATGTACCAAATATATATATTAAATATATAATTGAGTCCAGGGTCTTTTCACTGAGCTACATCCCCAGAACTGTTTTTTTTTTTTTTATTTTGAGACAAGGTCTCACTGAGTCACTAAGTTATCCAGGCTGGGCTTGAATTTGCGATCTTTATGCCTCAGCCTCCTAGAGTACTGGGATTATAGGCAGGCACCACACCCCACTTGAGTGTTGCAATTTATATGCAAGAGGAAGGGCCAGGAAATAAAACTGGTCTTCAGAGTCCTTCAGTTCTAGCCCATCTGTTTATGTGGGTTGCTTTCTGGGCAAATCTTTGACAACCCAATAGCTCCTTTTAGGCTCCAGGTCCTAAAATTGGAAATAACAATAATCTCAAAAGAAATAAGTATGGAAGCTTCTTTACTTGATAGAAAGAAATTGGGCTAACAGTGAAAACTGTCACAACAAACCTACCACTTTCTTGTTTGTGGGTTACTTTGTTTTTGTTTTTGTTTTTTTTTTTGGTTTTTCTCCGGTACCGGGAATCGAACTCACGACCTTGCATTTGCCAGGCAGGCGCTGTGCCACTGAGCTAAATCCCCAGCCCCTTGTGGGTTACTTTGTTTACTGACCACTTTATAGAAGAAAATGTTTCAAGGTCTATTTTTTAGTTTAAATTGGTAGGCTAGGCAATATTGGTAAATTATATATAAACTGGTAAAATTTCTAATTGAGTAGGTTAGGATTTTCACTATAAAAGTTTCTGGTTCTTTTTTTTTATTTTAAAGAGTAAAAGAAGGATAACATAATAATAGGGGGGACTTACCAAATTACAGACAAAGTGGTAGGAAATTATCAATGGTTATTGTTTTACATATTGTTATCTACAAGATAGTTTCTCAGTAAAACAAATAGACAAATAATAGTGAGTTAC